GTGTGTGTGTGTGTGTGTGTGTGTGTGTGTTTGGAGAAGTCACCTCCCAATAAATGTCATTTTGGAAAATCTAACTGCTCACTTTTACTCAGTACTTTTACTTTTAATACTTAAGTAGATTTTGTGTCAGAAATTTACTTTTGATACTTAAGTACAAAAATATCAGATACTTTAAGACTTTTACTCAAGTAATATTTTTAGAGAAGACTTTAACTTTTACCAAAGCATTTTTATGATAAGATACTTGTACTTTTACTCAAGTAATACTTTGAGGTACTTTATACAACACTGTTTAAATCACACCATTGTTCAGTTTTTGTTTTTCATTTTGTTTTAATGAGTGATTTGTTGCAGGATACTTCAGCCTCAGAGCATGAAGCAATAAAAACATTGGTTAATAAAATATGAACAAAGACAACATGATTCTTATGCAGAAGTGATAAAACATAATAAACATAATTCCCTGTGGAAAAGTTCAACTTTATGTCATAGTTTCTTTACACTTTAACACAAACAGATGATTGTTAAGCTTGTCTTGACAGTGTATCTATTGTCTAACTTTATTCTTCTTCTCTGTCAGATATGGATACAGCGACATCGTCACCATCCCTGTTGGTGCAACTAACATTGACATCAAGCAGCGCAGCCACAAAGGAATCAAACACGATGGGAACTACCTGGCAGTAAAGAGAGACGGTGGCTCTTACATCCTGAATGGAAACTTCTCCGTGTCTACAGTGGAGCAGGACATCCCAGTGCTGGGGGCAGTGTTGAAGTACAGTGGCTCTTCCACCACACTGGAGAGAATCCAGAGCTTCAGGCAGCTGAAAGAAGCCATCACCATCCAGCTCCTGGCCACTGGAGGAGACGACAACCCCCCCAAGATCAAATACACTTTTTTCATCCCTAGAGACACAACATTCAACAAATCCAATGAGAAAAAAGGCTCGTATTTGTCTACATTTACCTTTGATAGTGTACCTGAATGGGTACCAGGAGAATGGTCTGAGTGTTCCAAAACCTGTGGCTCTGGATGGTCCAGGAGGAGTGTGGAGTGTAAAACCAGAGAAGGGTTTTACTCTGGTCAGTGTGACAAAGAGCTGAAGCCCTCTGACATCCGGCCTTGTGGGGATCTGCCATGTCCCATTTGGCAGATGGGGCCTTGGTCTGCTTGTTCACGGACTTGTGGTCAGGGAGAGCGTCACCGAAGTGTTTTCTGCATAGACTACACTGGGAAGACTGTGGAGCCAGAGAAGTGTGATCCAAACAAAACCCCGGAGCCAGTCTCTGTGGACTGTAACAACCAGGACTGCTTCTGAGGAGCACTGAACTTACCTGTTTGTTCAAAAGGCTCAAACCAACCACAGAGAGAAAACATGAATAAACGTAGGCATCAAGAGTAAGTCCAGAGGTACAAAACTGCAAAAACAGCATGGAATGATTACAAAGAGAGGTGATAATACATAATAGTTACCTGGTACTTATACTTATCAGGTACGGCAGCACAAAGAATCAGTGGTTAGCACTGAAGCACCACAGCAAGGAGGTCCTGGGGTCCATCCCACGTTTGGACCTGAGGCTTTTCTATGGAGTTTGCATGTTCTCCTCGTGGCTTGAGTGGGTTTAGTCTGGGTGTTCTGGTACCCCCCACAGACCAAAAACATGTGTGGTCTTCAGGTCCAGGCCACCTTTGTAAAAGGTGTAGATTATCAGTCATCAAAGACATGGGAAATGTAAAACAACTGTGTGTTTGCATGTTCATCGCAATGAAATCCTAAAATCCCAGTGAGCTAGTGACCTGGCATGGAAAGTATCACAGATTCACTGATTTTTATCTGTGCAAAGATTGGTTTTTTATGGTAATTTGCTAAAAACCACATCACAGAAACACTAATGTTGCCAGAACTTGTTTACATAAAGGGTTTAAAAGTGCATGAGATGTTTCCTCTACAAGCTACATTTACATGCAGGTTAGTCTTGCTGCCCTTATCTGGTACTTGTTATGTATGTTGTGTTATGTGTGTACCTGGTGAATACCAGGAAAATATGTACCAGATAATATCACAAAAGGACCAGGTACATACTGGGTTGTATTATAATGCTACCACCCCAAAAATGAAAACAATAACAAAAGTTACAAAGTTAAAAGTTACTCTAAACGATCTGTTTGATCTGTCAAATGTTATGTGCACTTTGTGTGTTTTTTTTAATGAAATTAGACAACCACTGTTGAACTAAAAACATTTTTATCTACCTCAGTGCATACATGCTAGAGTTAAATGTGGTGTCTGCGCTCTCTGGGATGAGGTTTTTGTCCCACTTCAGAAGGATCTCACATTTTGAGGTAACTTGATTCAGCCTGATGTTGGCTCTTCCAGAGATAGGTGGGCTTAAAACGTTGGTGTGAAACCTGCTGTCAGAAACCAGTACAGTGTAAATATACCTCCACAGAACCCAGTACCATGTAAAGCTTTGTTCAAACCTACTATCAAGTTAGGCATCGAACTGTTAAACCTCTGGGAAATGTGCTCATGTGATTGCTTCTCTATGATAATGTATCCAATGTTTGCTGTGTTTCTGTCCTGAAAACTGGGAACCAGTCGCTTCCCAATGGCTCAGCAGTGTTTGACTTTAGTTGTGGCGACCTCTTCATGGACTGGACATGAGAGAAAGCTGCTGCCCCAAGCTGTGAGAAGTGCAGCTAGTATTGCGAGGGTGAATTATTCCACTTGTGGCTTGGGGCTGGCTTCACAAGCTTCAGCAGACTTGTTTTAATTTGTCACTTTCTCTTATAAAGTACTAAGTGTATTAATTTTTCTTCAAATTATATGTAGATAAGCAGAAACAGTCATTGTTGACCATAAAAACACACTTCAGTTTGTAATTGTCCTCTACTTTGGTGCATAGTGATGTTTTTGAGACGAGCAGAGGGACAAACAATCATCATTACAAAAACTCTGGAAGCTTTATCACAAGGTTAAGTTATATTATCTACGTTGTGTATAAAAAGTAGCACTAATTATTTTCCAGACTGGTTATAAATGTTTAGTGCATCATATGCAAAAAGTCAGTTTTCTGTTCTGACATGTGTGTATATTTGATTTATTTTATTCATGTTAACTTACAGTATAATATAATGTCAAAAAGATTGATCATTGGGTTGATATCCCTTCAGTGAAGGACCATGCAGTTTTATTATTACAGCTTTTTAAGCTATTTATTTTTGTATAGTTTTTATTTACATGAAATGAATGTGGCAGAAGTTGCTGTCTGAGTTTTGTAGTCTATTAAATGGTCAAATAAACACATTTATGTAAATATTTCTGCTTATTTCAGAACTTTTTCATGGCAATTAAATGCATTATTATGCTATATTTTATTAAATGTATACTGTACTAACTTTAAACATTTATTTGTGCAAACTGGTGAGTTACTGAGCCGTAACAAACCAAACTTGCTCTTTAAAACTGCGTTGTATTTAACCAGACACCCTGCAGAGGGAGGCCATCCAAAAAAAAACCCACAAAAAAGAACAGACTTACAAAACAAAACACAAACACCCAAAATCCCTCCCCACCTATACCGAATCTACTGCAACAACATGAATCGATCTTGTATTAATACAAGTGATACAATGAGCAGGTTTGTGTACAATGAAACAATATTTAACTTTTACACAGAATTATCTGCTGAAGTTTTTTCTACATAAGATATAAATGGCTGCCAGATGTCAAAGAATTTGTTTACAGATCC